GATTGCTTAAAGGGTGGCAGGCTTCTGATAAGAATAATGAAAACATGGGGAAACAGAGTGAAGCTCGGTGCACAACCTGGAAGAGTATAATTAATGTCAGTGAACTGAATATACAAAATGGTTGAAATGGCAAGTATTTTGCTTCACTACAATAAAAATTTTTAGTGATGATCAATAGTCAATAGCACATTTCATGATTCAAAAAAGGATTCGCTCTCATTGTTAAAAGCATTAGTTTATCAATGTATAATTGTCTGAAGAACAAACAATAGCACGAGTACGCACTCTCCTTACGAAGCTCCTCTGTCCCGGAACAGCATCACAGTCACTGGGAAAGGGCCACACATTGTTCTGCCATGACAGGCAGAGGCTCCTAACAGATCTGGCTGGTTAGTGAATCAATAAAAGTGTCTAGTCCAAGCAGTATAAGAAGAAAATTCTCTAATCTGGAAAATATTTTCATTTTACCCTTCCCAATATTATCTACGAAATTAATATTTGACATTGTAATCTAACATGCCAAAGCATAGAATAGTTTGTACTACAATTAAGGATATAAGTTACACAAGCATTTACACAAGATTTGACAGGATTCTTGCCACTCCCCGCCGCACCCACTGCCGACCCCATCACCACACACAGAACCCTCTCTTTTTTCTTTCTGCACAAAAATATTCAAAAGCATTAAAAGTGTTTTAAAATGTTTAGAAGTCATTTCGGATATTACAGTGAAATATTTAAGGCTGATATTTTCTTTCTTTCTCTCTCTCTCTCTCTCTCTTTCTTTCTTTCTTTCCTTCTTTTTTAATTCTTGGTTTCTAAAAAGACTGGGTGCCTGGAAAACCAACTAGTTTCCTAGGTGAACAACTTTCCTAAGAAAGTAGAATTTATCATTCTTTAGCAGATGGACTTTAATTATAACAAGGATAATTTATCTCCATTTACTAAAGAGTGACAGACTACTACAGAATCAGAGATACGACTTACTCCATTTCGCTGCAACGTTTCCATTTTTAGTGATATGCCACTCAAATGTAGCATTTATTTTCTTTACCACCTCATGCCCAACATCCTTAAGGCGGCGACCAATTTCCTCAAACACAAGGTTACTCTGAAGCTCTCCACCCTAGCAAAACAAGAGAAGTTCATAATAAAGTTCTGTCAAAAGGAATCAAAGGGAAAAATAATTTAAAAATACAATACAGTCATTTTAAAAACAATGATCTGCACATAAATAGGGCAGCTAAATTAGTTTGTTAGTTCTCCCCAACTTCTAACTAGATTTTGTTCACACATTCCTTATATATTTATATATAATTATCCAGAACCACAACCCTCCTAATAAAAAGATTATACTTTTATCAGAATTCTGAAATAATAATTTAAAATTAACTAGGAATTGAACAGCCTATGTCTCAATATCTTCAGCAGGAAAATATTAGACAATCCAAGTTTGTAAGTCTCATTTCTCTTTTACGAAATAGGCTTAAATTATATGAAGCCTAAATTTCCTTTTTAAGCCTAAACATTCATATGGATTCTGTAAGTCTCATTTCTCTTTTACGAAATAGGCTTAAATTATATGAAGCCTAAATTTCCTTTTTAAGCCTAAACATTCATATGGATTCTTAACTTCAGATTTTTCTAAAAGGGTTTTAATTTCCAGAAAATTATATCAAAATACGACAAGTCAATTAAAGGTCACATGGATACAAAGAATGCAAATGGATTTTATCAAGAGTTTCGGATTACTAACAGATGGTGATACAAATGCTTGAATCATTATGCGTGGTCTTGCTTTTCCACTTGGCAGCTAACCCAGTGGCCAGAGATTCAGACCACCAGTCAGTTTTAGATGGAGAGACGTAGCAATGTATTTTCATAAAGATCTGCAATCTTTGAAAGCCTATGGAAGAGTTCTACACTGTCCTATATGGTTGCTATGAGTTGGAATCTACCCCAAACTAATGAATTTGGTCTGGGTTTTTATTGCTTTTTCAGTTGTACGAATATTTATGCAAGTCTTTAAATCAAGAAAAAGGCTCAGGATATTTACCAGTTTCGTTTTTTTTCAAAATACTGTTTGCTTAAAATTATCATTAAACAAATGATATAGTTGCTCTTATGCTAACTTAATAGTAACACACTGATAACTACTAATTAGTCTAGAAACATACCACTTTCAATGGATATGATCTCGTCTAACAGTTATTTTCTCTTGAAAGAGACCAAAAATTATTTTATCTTTCTAAATATCTCAAAACACCCTTAACAAGGAATAAAATATCCAACTTAAAAATATATGAGTTAGAAATTTTTAAATTGGGGTCTGCAGATGAACTTCAAGGGGTCTAACAGCTCCTTAAAATTGCACACAATTTTTTTTGGTTGTGTATATAGGCATTTTTATGAGGAGAGGTTCCATCACTTTCATTGGAATACTAAGGAGTCAAGTGACCTTCCCAAAGAAAGTTAAAAAAAAATCTTAATGTTACTAAGGTATTTCTTTTATTCCAAATATTGAAATCCTTGTTGTTTAGCTC